AAAAGCATTTCCCATTTAAAAGAAAGTAAGAAAGAAAGGAAAGAATGAGAGAGAGGGGAAGGAAGGAAGGGACAGAGAGACGGGGGAAGGAAAAAGAATGCTCCCAAGGAAGGCCCGTGTACTCGAGTCTGTCCTGCACTGGCTCCAACCCAGATGTTTTCCCTGCAGTGTTACATCAACCAGACGAAGTGGTGGGTGTGTGTTTCAGGCCCACCACATATAAAAGATGAATCTTTAATAACTAAAATCCCATCCAGTGTGGCAAGATGCCCACACGGTGAACAGTTCTCACGATCTGAGGGCACAGAGGGTCCCCAGCCCCTGGTTCTCTCCTCTCGGGTGTTTGTTCACTGAGGGGAACAGTGGGCTCAGTTGCTCTTTTTCTTTCTTTTTCTCTGCGCGGTGAACAGTTCTCACGATCTGAGGGCACAGAGGGTCCCCAGCCCCTGGTTCTCTCCTCTCAGGTGTTTGTTCACTGAGGGGAACAGTGGGCTCAGTTGCTCTTTTTCTTTCTTTTTCTCTGCGAGCAGATGCCCTGAAGTTTGTGTGGGTTAAACATGCCCACAACGTGCGCTCCCTGTGCAGTGCGGGGGGTTTACGCTGGGGCCTTGGAGCTGGCCAGAAAAGCTGTGCTACGTGCCAGCTGTGTGGCTTCTGGCTCCTTGACCTTTTTGGGCCTCAGTTTTCTCATTTAAGAATTAGGGAGGAGAATAGCTTCTTGGAGTGCCCTTAGGAGGATTATATGAAATAACATCTGCCCGGCACACGGTAAATGCTACCCAGCACCATCATCACCACCACCAACCCATGGTGATGGACTGTGGTCACGGGTCTCCGTCTGTCTCCCCCAGAGTCTGTAACCTCCCCGAGAATAAGGGCCAGGTTTCATTCCTCTCTGTGCCCCCAGAGCCCAGCACAGAGCCTGGCTCTATACTGCTGCCCAGGCAGTGAAAGATTCTGTGTCCCTGAGCCCAGCATCCCAGAGCACATTGGGTGCCTGTGCCATTGACGCCCAGACCAGTTGGTATCTACAGATCCCAGCTGGAGCTCTGGCTATGCCCAGCAATGTGGCTTTGATGGCACAGGGACAGGAAAGGGTTTCTACTGAAAGTGACATGGTTAACGCTCAGACTCTGAAGCTAGACGATCTGTGGCACTGTCATTTTTTAGCTGCGTGACCTTGGGCATTTTACTTAACTTCTTTGGCCTTCAATTTTCTCACCCACACAATAGGATTGGGGTGAGAATTGACTGTCCCCAGCCTCCTCTCTTATCAGGCGGGACCACCCTTTTCCTCGAGAGCTCTGCAGTTTCTTGCTCTGTCTTTGCACCTGCCATTTCTTTAACTGGAAACTCCCTGCACTCTCCACTTCCATGGCTAACTCCTACTCACCCTTTACCACCCAGATCAGGCGTCGCCTCCCCAGGAAGCCTTCCTGGATGGCCTCCCCCCAGCTGGGTCAGGGGCTCTCCTGAGCCCCATAAGTCCCCTGTGCATTGTCCTCTCACTGGGCTTGCAGAGCGTGAAGTTGCTGCGGGGCCTCTGGTCTCGGATATAGCCCCTTCCCCGTGCCAACGTTGCTGAAATTAGGATTCAGCTACCACGGCCATCGAACATCTTTGTGTTTCCTCTCCCAGATCCTTGAGGCATATTATAACTCGAGGTCTCCTGAGAGTGGAGGGCAAGCCACTGCTTATGCTTGTGGCTTCCCTGCCGGGCTAGCACTCTTGCAGGTCAAAGCCTGGATGGCACTTATCTTGGCCTTCTCGGTCCCAGCTTGGGGCCTGGCAGGTGTGGGCTCGGTGAGGAACAGGCCTGAATCCCTGGGAGGCATAGAGATGGGGGAAAAGACCTCTATGTGAACAGCCCCCATCCTCCCCCCCAGGCCCGTGGTCTCCCTCTGGATATCAGTCCTTCTGCCATGTGTGACACTGTGCCCCCAGGTTGCCCAGGGGCTGAGAATGGGTAGGGGATATGTGCCTCAGAGTTTCCGAATTTCTGTGGTCTCCCTCTGGATATCAGTCCTTCTGCCATGTGTGACACTGTGTCCCCAGGTTGCCCAGGGGCTGAGAATGGGTAGGGGATATGTGCCTCAGAGTTTCCGAATTTCTCCTGGACTGAGGGGTGGAGGAGCTGGGGTGAGGGGGACAGCTCTGGTGAGGCTGGAGAAATGAGGGAGGACTCAGAAGTTGTCCCCATCTCCCTGTCTGAGCAGGGGCGGGGGTGGGGTGGCTGGGGCCAAATTGTGATCTCCCAGTGAGTGACCTTAGACCAGCCCTTTCCCAGCCCAGGCTTCAGTGTCCTCATCTGTGAAATGAGAGTGGGACAGCATGTTCTTCATGTCCTCCCGTGCCCCCAGCACCAACGCACTAAGACTCTGTGAACTGCTGAGCGTTTTAAGGAGATCTCTCGCCTGTATTAATTAACGTACTAATGAGAGGAAGCATTTATTGCCAAGCCTCTATCCCTCACCACTGCCTATGAGTTGCCTAACTACTCCTGCTGTGCACACTCTACAGACAGACTTACAGCAAACAGGCTCAGAGATGTTGAGGGACTTGCCTGAGGCCACACAGCCAGGACAGGGTGGAGACTGGTGTTGAACCCACTAGGTCTGAAAAAAAAAAGGCTTTTGCAACACCTCCCCGCCCCCACTGAGTCTGCTCCACCCACCCCAGCAGTGGCTCCTCCTCTAGGAATCCCCCGTGGCTCTGGGGAAGTTCAGAGAGCCCGAGGAGGGGGCCCATCCCAGCGGCAACCACATCCTGTGACGTTTGCCCTGGGGAGCGCCTCCTCTCCACCTGAGACAGGTGAGGGGGGAAGATAGGACCCACCCAGCCCCACAGGGATGGGTATCCACAGCCCAGCATCTTCTGTTCCCCCACCCCCCACCCCTCTCCCAGGAGGGCTTGGAGGAGAGATGACCCCAGCCCTCACCCTGTGGACAGAGCTGGGCACTGGCCATTTGCTGCGGGGCTAAAATTACTCCCTCTGAGTGAGTGAGGGATGGAGGAACTGCCCAGAGTCCTCTGTGAATCCGCTCCACTGTGTCCTCTGTATCTGCCAGCCCCATCTCCAACTCCTCCTGGGCTGGGCACAATCCCTTTGCCAGGCAGCTGTAACATGAAATGCCCTCGCCTTGTCCTGCCTCAGGAGCTTTTGGGGACTCAAGTTGGAATTCATTCAGCGCAGCGTCCCCTGCCCACCCAGCCAGGCTGTTGTGGAGCAGACAGGGGAGGGCAGTGGTTGCTGAATGCTCAAGGCCTCTGTCTCTGAGTCCATCTCCCCCAGGAGGGCAGGCCTGTGTCTTCTTGTCCATGTCCCCAGCATTTTTCATGGTGCTGAGCCACAGCCGGTTTTCCAGGTCACCCAAACACTTCCACCTCAGTGGACAGAGCTGCCCCCACCATTGCCCCTGCCCTACATACATGCACACACACGCATACGTGTGCACACACACACATGCACACTACTTGCACACACGTGCACATGCACACATACACACACACATGCTGTACGTAGCGGGTGCTGTTGGTGCTCCTCCTGGACCATTCCCACGGAAGACAACTTCTCACGGGATGTGCCTCTGACTCTGACCTGTGGCTCTCTGGGCACAGGAGTGTGCTCCGCTCCATAGTGGTGGGACGGTGGGTTAGTGTCCCTCCACCCATGACAGGCAGAGGGTGGTGGATCACTATCCAGCTCCCTTGCCCCTTGGTAGGACTATTCTAAGGTGTGTCTCCCATGGGCCCCAGCAGGACTGAGCCCCAGTTGCCCACAACGGCAACCTGTTTGTGAGCACACTCTGTATTGTCTTCCTTCTTTCCCGGTCTCTTGTCCTTGTTTTCTTACCAGAGCTTCCAGGAACCACTTCCAAATAAAGGACTTGAGCTCACGCCTTCCCTCCTCTGCTGCTGAGGGACTCGACTCCACTGCACACCACACACATGCACACACGCCCACAGCCTGAGTTCTATAAGAGTTCAAAGACTTTATGTCCTGGTTTCATTGAGCAATTCAGTTTAATCTCAGGATGCTCAGAGCAGGACACCAGAGTCTGGCCTGAGCCCCGGGCCTCTCTCTGAGGCTGCCTGGACACGTTTGCAGCTCTGGTGCAATGTCACATAATCATTCGTTCATCCTGGCAGCACCCTGGTTGGTCCAAGGAGACAATTGGGGACTCAGGATTTAGGGCAGCCTCTGAGCCCCTTCCTGGCAGACATCTCTGTACTCCTGCCCCCATAAAAACTGTGCCCATGATTTTGGGGTCTGGGCTGGGACCATTTTTGTAAACTTTAGAAAGCTGAGAATAAGGATCAGCTGTCGAGGAAGCTCAGAATAAGGGTAGTCACTGCAGGAAGGTCTGTGCCCCTGGTGGGGTCTGAGGATCTCTTGAGGCAGGACTGGCCTCAGGCCCCAGCCCCTTGGTCGGTGGCACAGTCATCCTGCTTGTGGTCAGCTGCTGTACCCAGGAAGGCTGTATTCCCTGCCCAGGTGTAGTTGCCACCCCAAGCAAAGGCCTGGGCCAGCTGGTGTGCTGCCCCTCCCCCAGCACCCACCTATCAGAGTGACAACAGCCGCTGGCACATGGGGCCTCCTTAGCAGCACTGGGCCAGGGTCCCTTTTCTGCCCCTCTCAGTAGCTCTGGGCCCTGAGCTGTCTGAGACTCAGGGAATCAAAGCACCAGACCCCTGAGGGTTGCAAGGGACCTCAGGAGCCATCCAGTCTGGCCCCTCCACACAGCTGCTAGAGGTGGCCCAGACACTGCTGTTGACCTTGAGACAGAGCTCACACCTCTGGGAGGCAGCATCCTCCATCCTGGGGCTCTGTTTGGGGCCGGGGCAGGGCTGTGCCAGCAGGGGCTGAGAGTACAGGGGATGGGGTTTCCTTCCATCTCTCCAGGGGGGTCTCTCAGCCCCATGGGGGATGAACTGGGAGGGTTGGGTGGGGCAGGGGAGGCCAGTGCGAGGGAGCCACCCAGGAGCCTCGGCTGGACAGTCTAGGCTGCTCCGATGTCATCATACTCATCATTGTCGGTGGAGTCGGGCTGGGGACTGTGGGACCCTGTGGGGCCGGAAGGCTAGGTCAGCGGGAGGCCCAGCCATTGCCCCTGCTGCTGTCCCATGGGACAGGCTGAGCAGGTCTGGGTCCACATCTCCCTTCCCCCATGATGCTGCATGAGACCATCTTATCATCTTGGTCACTGCCGTCTCCCAGGCTCGAATGTCAGCCGTGAGGGCAGAGCCTTGTCTGTATCCGGGCTGTAAACTCATCTCCCTTCCCCCATGATGCTGCATGAGACCATCTTATCATCTTGGTCACTGCCATCTCCCAGGCTCGAATGTCAGCCGTGAGGGCAGAGCCTTGTCTGTATCCGGGCTGTAAACTCACGCTGGCACAGTGGCTATGACAGATGACTGAGCGCTGGGAGACTCTCTGCTACCACAGCCTCCCCAAGGGGCCAGCCAGCTGCTTCTGCTTGAATGCCTCCACTGACGGGCAGCTCACTTCCTCTAGGACTCTGAGTCTTTCTCCATCCCATCCACATCCATTTTCCTCACTTCCTCATCTCCTTGTTTTGTTTAAAAATTAAAACCAAAAAAACAACAAAGAACTTTCCCCTCTTTTCTTTTCCCTTTCCTTTCTCCTTTTTCCCCTTTGGGCCCATCCACATCCATTTTCCTCACTTCCTCATCTCCTTGTTTTGTTTAAAAATTAAAACCAATAAAACAACAAAGAACTTTCCCCTCTTTTCTTTTCCCTTTCCTTTCTCCTTTTTCCCCTTTGGCTAATGTATCCAACAGATCCATAGCTCCCCCAACTCATCCAATCCTGAGTTCCTCTCTGTCCCGCCTCCCAAGGTCCCCTCCCCTGCCACTGGCACCTGGACACCCAAACTGCTCCACTGAAGGGGGCTGGGGTGGTGGCTGGAAGTTCTGGTACCACTCTCCGGACGAGGTGCTGGAGCTGTCATCAGCTGAGGACCCTGCTGGAAACCCCCAGAGCCAGTCACCCTCTGCCAGGAGACAGCCAGTGCATGACCCACCAGAGCCCCACAACTCAAGAGAGTCAAGTCTCTAGCTTGACAAATGAGGAAATGAAGGTCCAGAGAGGGAAAGAGACTTGTCCAAGGTCACACAGCGAGTGGCTGTGAAGCTGGGACTGGAATCTTGAACTCAGCCTTGCTAAGGATTCCCAGCCTTACACTTCCTCCAGCCAAGTTCGTTACAGGGTTGGGGGTTGGGGATGTGCAGCTTACCTGGAAAGGTTGTCCGGGAGCCAGCCAGCTCCAGGTTCAGGGGCTGTTCCAGGAATGGCCTCCTCTCTGAAGAAAACCCAGGGGGGTTCCATGGAGGGGGCTTGCTGTGGGGGCTATTGCAGTAATCCTCCCCGGAAGATGTGCTGGACCCACTGCTGCTCCTTGGGTGGTGCTGAGGGCCTAGGGGGAGGGGCTCTGCAACGCAGTGTCCGGGGATGGCAGCTGGCACGTGGGAGGTATGCAGCTCTTCAAGTCCTGGGACAGGAAAGGGAGAGTGGTGAGGACAGAAGCCATGCAGTGAGAGGACTTTAAATCAGACTCAAGAAAGTACGTATTGCCTGCAGGAATTGTTAAAGTCCGGAAAGACCTGATGAGGGAGGTTGCTGCTGGTACCACTCAAGGTGAGCTGAGCTACCGAGTCTGGAGGCAGGGCTGTCACCCTAATCACCCTTCCATGTTCCTTCCTAGCCCAACTCACCTTCCTCCAAGGGCGGCATCTGGAACCTGCTCTGCTGGACCTCCTCATCCGTGACCCGGTGCCGCTGGGAATCTGCAAACAGAGGTGGCAATGGGGAGGCGTGAAGGCTCAACCTCCTCATTCTGGGAGCCTGCAGGAGGGGCTGGTGTTCTCTGGGCTTGGGAGAGTGCCCCGTGGCTGCACAGGGCAGAGGACAGCCCTAGAGGTAGAGAGGGGCTTAGCTTTTCTCATCAGATCCCAGGCTAACGTCCTAATCCAGGCAGACCGCTAACTTCTATCTAGGGCACCTGAAACCAGCAAGGGGACAGCTGCTGCTGGCCAGAAACTCTAGTGCCCCGTGCCCTGCCCTCCACCTCATGCGTTGGCAGCTCTGGGCAGGAAGAGGGCCAATGTTTGCTCCTTTGAGGAACCTTCCTGGAGCAGAAGCCTTCAAGTTTCAGAATCAGAGAGACGGAGATTCATAGTCTTGAGAATTTGAGTGTCTGGGCTCTTGGGGTCAGCTCTTTTGAGCCTGGTACCACTGACTTGTAGTCTTAGTTAGAGGATTTCAGACTCTCAGTCTTTCATCTTACATGCCTAGGCTCAGAATCTCAGGTTCTGAGGACAATTCATCCCTGTGGCTCCCAAACACCTGTCCATGTTCCAACAGAGGTGGAATCATCCACAGCCCACCCAGAAGCCCTGAGTCAGCAGGTGGGGCAGGGAGAGCTAGCTGTTCACTGATTGTGCATTCTCCTGTTGTAGGAGCCCCTTGGCCTTTATCTAGCTGCCCAGGGTACGGGCTGCCTCCCCTGCTTCTCTTGCAGCTAGTAGGCTAATGTCCTGGACCGTGAATGTGAAGCAACGACGTGGGCATCTCCAGCATCCTGTCTTTGCCTTTCCTGCTGCCTGAAATGTGGACATGGTGGTGAGCCATTCTGGACCGTGTGGATGAGAACAACATCTTAGGGACTGCACAGCAGCCAGAAAGAAGGAGCCTGGGCCCTGCCAGGTTCTCAGGCACTGTCACTTGGGGGTCTCTGTCACACACAGACAAACTCTCATTCTAACTTAGGTAGTAGGATTGGGGCTCAGGAACTTTTGACAAGCTCCTAAGGGATCCCACAGTAGGTGTGGGATTCTCTGGTCTAGTCCAATCTCCCAGCATTGCCTGGGCCCTGCCTTAAGTGCTGTCTTCCTCTTTCCACCCCCACAGGCAGAGTGAGGAGCTGGACAAGCTGGCTGAGAGGTGCGAGCTGGCATAACAGTGAGGTCGGGCAGAGGGTGGTACTGCTGGGGTCGGGCAGGGCAGGATGGGACACAGAGGGGTATCAGAGTGCAAAAAACCATCCCAACTGCGTCTCTCGCCTGGACTCCCTCATGTCTTACACAGACACAGCTACCTTTAGATGAATATCAAGGGCCTAGTTATGATCTTAAGACCCTACACTGCCAGAGCCAAACATGGGAGAGATGGAGGTCAGAGTGGAAATGGCTGGAGATATCGAGATGTTTCCAGGGTTGCAAAGCACCTTGAAAACTTCAGTGTGGGTGGGACCATTTACAGGGGGGGTCTGCCCATGCCCTGCAGGGGTCACCCTACAGGGGTCACCAGGTGGGACCTACTGAAGGTAGGCCCTCTCTCTGATTCGGCAGGTGGGACCTTTGGAGCCTGGCCAGGCACTCACTGTAGAAGGTGGTCAGGGCCACAGGAGGCTGGGCGCTGAAGTCATAGTGCTCATAGTCTGAGTCCGAGCTGGAGTCCGAGTCCTTGGGGGGTGGGGCCTGGGCCTGGATGGGCAGCTTGGGAACTAGGGAGAGAAGAGAGTGGGGGGCATGGCAAGGTGGTGGGCAAGAAAGGCATAGGGAGAGGTGGCAGAGAGCGTGGATGGCAGGGACAGGAGACAGAGTGGCAGGGAGAGTACCAGGTGGCCCATCTTGTACAGGACTGCCCAGCCTGGGTTTTCCAAGCTCCTCCCACCCATTTCAAATATGGGGAACTGAACAGCATTTTTTAGTTTAGCAAACACTTAACACGGCACTCACTATGTGCCGGCACCATTCTAACACTTACAAATACTATCTCACTTAACTCTCGGAAGTCTGTGCAGCAGGTACATTATTATCTCCATTTACAGCGGAGGAAACTGAGGCACAGGGAGGTTCTCACCTTGCCCAGAGAATCAGGCAGTCTGGCTCTAACTCTCTAGGTTATACTATTCGGTGAGCGACTGCTCCGTGCTTAGCCTTGCACTAGATGGTATATTTATATTCTCTTTTCAAATATGTGGATACTGTGTGCAAAGAATATACTATTTGGCTACATTTTGTATTGGTTTTCATGTCATTGAACTCTTTCCAATAAAGGTGATTAAATACATTCATAATGCAATGTGGTGAAAGGATAGATGACTGATCCAATTTTTTTATTTACTCAGAAAATGTGAAATAAAACTTTGTTCCAGGAGAATCTTTATGGGACTCTGCAGGGCGGCTGATTGGGCAGGCCATTTAAAGAGGTGACAATATCACAAACCTACTAGCCAATTAGCAAAACAGAGCTTTCCTCCAAGGAACAAGATTCAAAAATGCCCTCAGCCTGTATTTGTCCAGAACTTGCAAGCCTAGGATGGCTGAACTGGAAGGTCACCTGTCCCTCAAGGTCCGTGAATGGGCTGGCCCAGCTCTCATCTCCAGCAGGGGCACTGCTTTGACCTAAGGAGTACTGACCCTCCAGAAGGTACATCCTTCCTGTCCTCCCCAGCCCTCCCACACCCAGGATGGGTGACATCCTACCTTCTTCTTTGGGGATAGTGATGGGGACCGCTTGATAGCTATTGATCCCTGCTGGGATGGTGGTGGGTAGGTGCTGATGGTTCACTGTAGCAGGGAGAGCTGAGGGAGGGGAGGCAGAGATTCTACGAGTCATTTTTTTTTTTCTTTTTGTCTTTTTTTGTGACCGGCCACGGGATGGCAACCCTCGGTGTTGCGCCCGCACCGCGCTCAACCAGTGAGCGGACCGGCCTCTACATGGGATCCGAACCCTCGGCAGGAGCGCCTCCGCGCTCCCAAGCGCCGCACTCTACCGAGTGCGCCACCGGGCCGGCCCCTACGTGTCATTTTTTTGCCCTCTCTCCCCATCTACCTGGTTCTGTTCTCGTCCTACTGCTCACTCTCATCCTTGCTCACTCCCCCAACACACACACACACACACACACACACACACACACGCACACACACACACGCACACACACACACGCACACAGGGTCTGGTCTTCCCATGGGACCCACACTGCTGGGCATGCTGGGAAAATCCTTTCCATCAGGAGGCGCTCCCCAGGGCCAGGGCTGGGTGGCCATTGCTGGATCACGCCATTCCTGCTGGGGTTCCCCCGAGGCTCACATCCCCCTGGGATGGCCGCACCCCAGGCCTCTTTCTTCCTGTCCCTGCACCTTTCCCATGGCTCCCAGAACTTGGCACCTACCATATTTTCCTTTAACTCTCAAGAGGATGAAGACTATGGAGATGAGTGAGGCAAGGAGGAGAATTCCCAGAATGATGCAGAGGATGAGGAGCATTAGCTCCCAAGATTCCTTGTCTTGCTCCCAGAACTTGGCACCTACCATATTTTCCTTTAACTCTCAAGAGGATGAAGACTATGGAGATGAGTGAGGCAAAGAGGAGAATTCCCAGAATGATGCAGAGGATGAGGAGCATTAGCTCCCAAGATTCCTTGTCTTCCATTTTCACAGTCACAGAAGATTCTGGAAACAAGAATCCCAATTTAGGGAGAAAGAGGAACAGACGCAGACTTCTCTTCATCCTTCTTGCCTTTGCGTTTTCTCTACAGCTGACCTACTTCCCTTTTTAACCTTTCTTCCTTTTTTCACTTTTTCCCAGCTGCTTTTAAGTGTCTGGTACATAGTAGCTGCTCAATTAGTGCATGTCGAATGAATGAGTAACTGACTCAATGAATTAACTACCTGAAACTTTCCTCTGACCACCAGCCTACAGGGATCTCTCTCTTTTAGCTCTTCAGTACTTTGTCTTTGTCCAATACATAATTACTGAGTGCCCACCATGTGCCGGGCACTAGGTCCTGGGGATACAAATATGACGAAAGTATCACAGGCCTTGAGGGGTTCTGTCTAGTGAGGAGGTCAACAAGTAGACCCAATCCAATATGCTGAGACACTTGCTGTGATGGAGGTATGAACAGGCACCTTGGGGGCATGTGGCCCTACAAGGGACACCTCATTCTCTATGGGGGAGGACTGGTTTCCCAGAGAAGGTGACTCTGAGCCACCCCTGGCCGTGAGCAGACCATCGAGAGAGCTGGGTCTTCTTTCTGTGCCTGGACCCCTCCTTCCTACCAGACACACCCTCCATGAGGGCAGGAGCGTGGTCAGTGATTCGGGCCTCCAGCTCTGCAGACCCTGTTCTGGTGATATCTTGCCTTCAGCTCCCTCTTGGCCTCCCACCTGCTTAGCAATCCTGGAGTCCTGGAGTGTCCCGACCACAAGGGCTGGATGAAGGGTAGTGACGGCAGCAAGGGAGAGGGCAGATGAAATCATCCCAGCACCCTGGTTGGGGGCAGTGTCTGCTTCCCCTGGGAGATGACCCCTTCCCTGTCCTAATTCTCCCCCGTCCCCTTTCTATCTGCAAAGGGAGCAGCTCGGGCCAGGATGGGGAGCTGGATAGCAGCAGGATGTGGGTGCAAGGGAGAGGCTGGGCTGTGGGGGCTATGGGGTGACCAATACAGAGGCGCTATGGCCAGGGAAGGGGCTGATGAATAGGCTGATGGACCGTGGGCTGGGGCGTGGTCCTCGGAGGCTGGGTCCTCTTTGCTCTTCTGGGGTGGCGTGGCTCCCCACCCTGACCTCAAGAAGAGTGCATGAGGGGTGCCATGGGCCTGGCAGGAGCTCACCCACAGCCTGCGTATGGTCTCCAGCATTTCATTCCCTCTCTGTGCCCTCATCCATGGCCATGGCCTCTGTCAGGACTTGGTGCCCCTTCACTCTGTCCCCATGCCCCTGTCCATCCTCCTCTGGTGTGTCCAAGAAAGGGTGAGAGGGAGTCAGGGGACAGGGAAAGGGAAACTAGGCCTGCCCCTGTGGGTGTCCTGGGGTGGCAAGGGGCTCTCTGCCTGGACTGAATAATCATAAGAATAGCTGATGCCCTGAGAGGCATACTGGGCACTAGGCCCTGTTCTGAGTGCTTTACAAAAATTACTTCACTGGAGCCTCGCAACTCAAGGAGAAAGGTACTATGATTATCATCTCCATTTTGTGTTGAGGAATCTGAGGCTCAGAGAGGTTAAGAATTGCCCAGCATCACACAGCTAGCAAAAGGCACGGCTGGGATTTGAGTCCCAGGAGTCTGCCCTGTCACCAGCCAAGCTACACACAGCTGGAGGACAGATCAAGCAGAGGTCTGGAGTTAGAGCCTTGGATGCAAATTCAGGCCAACAGAGCTGGCTGTCACTTCAGCCTCGGAGCCTCAGCTTCTTCCTCAGTGTAAGGGCTGCAACAAGAACTCTCCCATTTGGCTGCTGAGAAGAGTAAAGGGCTGGGAAATAATGGCTGTAAAGTGCTAGGCCTGGCGCCTGGAACATAATAAACACAGCAACTGGGCCTCGGCATCCCCACCACTGGCTGGGCCAAGATCACCTCTGCTCGAGGTGGTATCAGACCAGCTTTGGCTCTCTCTCCAGCTCTATCCTCCTGCCCTACAGGAGCTCACAGGAGAGTTGGGGGGCGGGTGTGGACTCCTGTCCACCAAAGATCAGGACGCAGTGAGCTGCGGGCTGACTTGGCAGGGAGGGGAGGTAGCAGGAGCTCAAAGTACCCAGGGAGCCCCAGGAGGCAAGTCCATTGGCTGCAGATGGGGGATTGGGGAACAAACCATCAGTCCCTCCCACCCCCCAAAGACGCACACACACACGTCCGTGCACACCCAAACTTCTTTGACACCACACAGCCAGCAACACTCACCTAGAGTGACCGACTGGACACTTGCAGGGACTTCGGTGGACAGATTGTGCAGACTCCGGGAACCTATCAGAAAGCACCACCCGATCACTCAACACATATTACTGGGCACCTACTGTGTGCCAGGCATTGTGCTAGAGACTGTACGGGACAGACAAGTGACCTGGAACTGGGGCCTTTTCCACCCTCCTGCAATAAGCAGGAGCTCAAAGATTAAACGCTGGGAAGGCTCTTTGGTTAGAAAAAGCGGCTAACAGATGAATTATCCCTTCTTTCTGTATAATCTGCTACAGACAACAAATCCCTTTTCCATTCAGTCTTTAATTTGTTCTTATGGTCTCAGGCAATGGGGAACTGACATTATCTTCATTATTATAATCAGCATTCCCACTTGACAGGTATGCTTACCATGGAATGGAGCTTACAAACCCCTTGTAGATATTATCTGATTTCCCAGCTACTGTGTGAAGTGCCTAGTATCAGCATCCACATATTTATGAAACTGAAGCCCTAGGAGGTTAAGGGACTGCCCTAGCCTCAGAGCCAGAATTTGTAACCAGATGTCTGAACTCGGTAAGAATGCTAATACCATGTTTCTTCAGGTCTAACACTTTTCACACTTAAATGCCTCTGAAATCGGGATGACGGCCTCAATCATTATACTTGATGGCATATCAAGAGTTTGTTTTGACAGCCTTTGTTTTACTTTATGGTACATAAAATAATAATGGCATGACATAATCAATGCCATCTTAGATTTGGTGAAATATGGTAGAACCCAACTCATAGAGTGAAAATGAGGCTTAGCTGGAATTAGAGCTACGGAGTGCTTGGCACTGCCTGGCACATGATTAGGGTTCCAGATGCTGTCAAGGACATTATTATTAGTGTCTCCTAATATTATTTTTATGGTGATCACCAGTCCTGGGATCACAAATTGTTTTAAACTCTTGAGCCAATTCCAGTCAAGGGGGAGGGACCATTGCTTAGCACGTATTAATGTCTTTATAAACATTTGATTCATGATGCTGGGGCTGAGTCAAGCCTCTGTAGAAAAGAACGCCCTGACTGATTAGTGATGTCTGCCTGGGCTCGGTAAGGGCAATGGTCCCTCTTATGCCAGTATTTGCCATTGCTGATCTAGTCCAAGCTGTGGTCCTTGGGCTGCAAGCTCTTAGGATTTGGACTCAGGTGGAACTCTTGGTCCAAACTGTGTGTGTGTGTGGAGGGGGGGACAGGTGTTAGGGATACCTGAGCAGAGGACCCTGGCTGCCAGCGACTGGCTGCAGAGGTTGGAGTTGTTGAACCGCCAGGAGCAGTTGGCAAGTGTGGGCTCCGCTCCGGTGCAGGAGTAGTACATCCTGCCCGACAGCGAGTGGGGCAGACCCTTGGGTCGTTCGACCACGGTCCCACAGCCCAAGGCCCGGCAGAGCACGTCGGCCTCCGGCGGGTACCACTCGCTGTCACAGACGGTGCTCCATAGCCCTCGGAAGTACACCTCCACCTGTCCTTCGCAGGGGTCCGCGCCCCCGGTCAGGCGCCAGGACTGGTGCTCTGCGGGGGAGGCGCACGGGGCAGGGTCAGGTCAGGATCCTGGGGGCGGGGGAAATGCCCGCCAGCCCAGAACCCCCTCCACGAGGCCGCGCACTGACCTGAGCACACCACGCCCGCGTCCTCCTTGTGGCCGCAGTAGTGGTCTCCCGGCAGCCCCGGGCAGTCCCACAGGTAGGCCTCGGTCCCGGAGCAGTTCACCTGGTCCCGGTGGATGGGCCCTCGGCCGGGCGCGAAGTGCAAGCCGGGCAGGGCCTGGACTGCCCAGCCGCAGCTCAGTTGCCGGCACACGACGTGGGCGTCCTCCAGGTCCCACGTGTCATCGCACACGGACCCCCACTGGCCGCGCTCCAGCATCTCCACGCGGCCGGCGCAGGGGCCGCCACCGTCCACCAGGCGCAGCGCGCGGTTCTCTGGGGGTGGGAAGGGTTTGTGGATGGCGGGGCACGGGGCTGGGCGGGGCCGGGAGGGGTGATCGCGACCCGGCAGCACGGTGGTGGGCCGGGCTGTGGGCCCAGTGAGAGGGGCCGAAACACGGCGGGCAGGACTGGGAATCCTCTCGGGGCTGCCCGCGGGCAGGAGGAGCTGCGGGCTGGTGGGAGGGACTAGACACCTGCTGGGCGGGGCCCGGGGAGCAGGTGGGGGGCAGGGGAGCCACCGCGCTAAGGGACCTGGGGGTATGGGGGAGGGGTAGAGACAGGACCAGAGATGAAGGGGGCGGGAAGGCGGGCCCGAAAGTAGGGCCAGAGACCGGTTTAGCATTGGGAACTCAA